TGCAACCCTTGAGCCCTTTGAGATGTCTGTTTCTGCCTCATTTGCTAAATAAACTCTTTCTCTCTCTCTGCCATTTACTAGTTATCACTGCCCACTAAACATTCAAGAAGGTGTCATTTTATCTGCTTGTCGCAATTTTCTTCACAGTGACATTATGATGTCACAGGGTTTCAAGTCTCCAGCAGCTCGCGTAGTCTTTCACTGACTCACCTGTGAGCTTTGCAAGCGCCCAGGGCATTCTGGGGCAGGTTGTCCATCTGTAGCTTTCAGTTGGCTCTGCAGGTGGTTGAGCAGTGTGCTCAGAAACCATTAATGTTCTTCATTTGTTCTTTTCAAAGGGTTATTGGTTGCCCGGTGGGCTAACTTTTGGGCTGCTAACCACAAGGTCATCTGTTCAAACCAACTAGTTGCTCCAGGGGGGAAGATGAGGCCCTCTGCTTCCTTATAGATTTATGTTCTTGGAAGCCTTATGGAGCAGGTCTACTCTGTCCTACGTAGGGTCGCTATGAGTTGGAATCCACTCAAAGGCAATGGGTTATTGTTTTATTTTTCTTTTGTCGATTTTGTATTTTACTGATGTTTCAATTATGTTGAGGATTTCCCTTTTGATTTTGAAAATATAAATATTTTTTACTGTAGGAGTTCATAGTGCCACTAGAATCAGTAATGACATTTAAGTTTAGAGCATGGAGGAAGTGTATGGTATAGAATACTGAATGAAAAATTCTCGTTTAAAACCAAGCGTGATTGTTAAGGAGTGTGGTACAAAATTTCAATTTACATTTGCCATTTTTTTGGTATACCATTCTTTAGTCTCATCTGTCAAGGCCACAGTTATTTCAGTTTCCCAAACTTATGCTCACCTTTGTAGTCAACATTTTTCATGTATATTTCTGGTATAAATATATAAAAATATGTGATAATTACAGAGGTCCTGCTGTACAAGCTACCAAAGCAGCTGCTGGTACCAAGAAGCATGACCTGAGTAAATGGAAATATGCAGAGCTGCGTGATACCATCAACACTTCTTGTGGTGAGTGTTGGGGAGGATTGTAGTGGGAAGGGCCCATCGCTGAGACAGCAAGTACCTGGAGTGGGGTGCTGTATTTGTTGTTGTTATCTGTAAACCAGCGTAAGCCATACTCTCTCTCTACTTTGCTTTTGACAAGAAGACCTAGCTTTTTCACAAAGCCGGAAGAAAGAGGAGCTTATTCAGTCTATTTTGTCTCTCTCTGGAATAGGTTGAAAAGGAAGAGCAAAGACAGATTACGGTTTGGGTGATATTAATGACTGGCCATTTTAGAGTTACTCATACTAGTTAAATGTTTAATATCCGAATATATTGATCTGTGAATGCAAAGTAAGAAATGATAATGGCCGTCCTTTCTTTGTAAAGCCAGTTTTCTTCCAAGGGAGCAATGAGAGTACAATATCATATACCACATAGTGGTGTTCCTGCTTAAATCATGGTATTTAGGTTCAACATACTACGGCTAGGAACTAAGTTGTCATAGCTTGTACCAAATTCTTCGCTGAACTTATTTTCTTTCTGTACTGATCTTTATTGGCATACTTACAGATAACAATCACCATTACAACAAAAAACATGCTGCACATAGATATGTTTGTATTTGATCACTGTGACCTTTTATTATATTGCCAAGGTCTCTGGCTTTGGATAAGTTCCTTAATGTCTCCGATTAGATTTACCGTATATATGCAAGTATAAACTGTGTTTTTCAGCACATCTTTTATGCAGTTTTTGTGGTAAAATTAGGTGCGTAGGCTGATATTCTGTTGGATTATATTCAAGTATATATGGTACTCACCTGAAAAAAGTCTATTTAACCTGTGGTTTTGTGTGGAACAAATTATAGAATATAGTAGTAATGTATAGAAAATGCCCACAGAATGCTCATCTCTCTCAACTGTGAGCTTATATTTGATTTTGTACTATTAAAAACAAAACATGTAGAGTACAGATAATTAGTGGGAGATGATTTATTTAAAATGCTGATTTATTTCTCTTTCTATGCACTTGATAGATATTGAGCTCCTGGCAGCTTGCAGAGAAGAATTTCATAGGAGACTAAAAGTGTATCATGCTTGGAAGTCCAAGAACAAGAAGAGAAATACCGAGACAGAGCAACGTGCTCCAAAGTCTGTTACTGACTATGGTAAAACCAAATCTTTATTTTTAAGTCTTCCCAAGTATATGCATATAGCTATATGTAAGACATTTGGGTAAAAATGTACATATAAACAATTTTGTTCAGAATTGTGACTCATTGAACCTAACACAAAAATAAAGACCTAGCATTATTTCTCTTGAAAATATATGAGCGGGCATCAAAAAGTTCAATGGAAAATTTCAGTATATTTCGAGTCTATATTTTCATAAACATTTTGAAATTCCCTCATATTTAAATATTCAATAGAATATGCCATTTCTGTTTAGAAATACTGAATTTACTTGTTTTAATATATTCTAGAGGTAAAATTTTTTCTTATCTACTGAAGAGCTTATAGATAGAATTGTGAATATATATTTTTATCATGTATATATATACACATAAAGATTATATGTGAAAATATAAACATGAATCTTCTACTTCACGTGTGAAATGAATTTTGCTTGCAGAAATAATTTTTCTTTTTCTTTTGGAAATAAGTATTTTCATATGTTCAAAAATAGATCTTGTTATCTAAAAAAAGTGTTTTTTTCTTATTTGGAAGAACAAAAGAGTAGGTGAAGAAAACTTTCTGAGCATTCCATTCAAGTATATGAAAAGACTTAGGAATTATTTAAGAACATAGTCCCATGTGATTTGCATACAATTTACATACATTTAGCCTTGAGAGAATTAGTTTATGGACCATTTTTAGGATAGAAGTAACTTCTAATCTGAAAAATATGCATGTATGTGTGTGTATATATATATATCTAATATATATATATATATACATACACAATTTCTTGTAAAGCTGTTTTGACCCAGGAGCATAGTCCAAAGGGAAGATGATAGGAACACACTGCCGAACGGCTCCACTGACAACAGGTCTGTCCTGGTCCCTCTCTTAACACAGCGGAACTTGTGTGTTGTTGTGTGATGGTTAGAAAGACTGGGACTCATCATCTACGAAAAAAGTAAATAATGGCAACATTTGATTAACAAAAATATAAATTAGTATTGTACAATTCTATTTAACGTGATTGAAATTTGTCATGATATGATATGTGCCCAAACCCCCAAGGTAAAAGAAAATTCTCAAAGGAAAAATGTATATAAATTAGTGTTAGCGACTTTAAGAGGGGAGCACACTGAATTCTTGTACTGAGGAGCAAGGAGCCTTGGGCCGCCTTTCTGTCTGCTCTACTGGTTGAGCACACCCTCATGTCACTTACTGTAGGAATGGGTTTTCAGAACTACAATGCAAAGGTAATAGGCCTGCTTTTCACTTATTGATTATCTATCTGCTTATCTGACATTTCACATTCACAGAAATAGTAACAAACTGATTATTTTATTTATATTAATCATGCACATTCAGCAGTAGCAAATGGCAAGATCTGAAGTGTAGTGCCTGTGATAGTTAAGGTTGTGTTAACTTGGCTGGGCCATGATTTTCAGTCGTTTGGCAGATTTGCAATGATGTCATTTGCTAGTTGGGTGTTGCTGTAATTTGCCAATTATGTAATGACAAATGTGGCAGTTTCTGCAGTGATGGAATCTGTTAGTATGCAGTGAGGCTGATTTGGAAGTTGTGTGATGATGGGATTTGTGATTATGTGATGATTTTAATTTGGCACTTAGGTGATGGAAGTAGTCATCATCCATTTTGTGATCTAAAGTGGTCATCTTCGATTTTTGCGTAACACTGATTTTAACGTAACAACCTGGCCTTTGGATCCTCGCTATATTGATAAGTGAGGAGTGGGTGTATCTAATTGTGCAAAACAAAGATATTGAAAGGTATTTTTAGTGTACAGTTCCAGAAATAAAAAGTCCTGAGTTTAAGATTTATCAATTTGAATAAATTATAATATACTTTGTTTTGAAAAGTATTATATTCCAAAAGCATTCCAAGTTTTCCCTTGACCAAAGAATATAATTTTAAAAACACCAGATATTAAAAACAATCCATAAATCAATTATATCGAGCGAACCTGTACATATGTTGCCGAAAGAACATAATTTTTTGATGAATTTAAAAGTTACTAATTTTTCCTTTGAAAATCTGATGTTGTTTTAAAAGACACCATAATGTCTGTCATTCAATCATGGTGTTGAACTTTTATTTTGGCTGTTTCTGTCACAGAATTAAAAATGAAATATAATTAAAAATTTTGATCCCATTCATATGTGCACCAAAAAGGATTTTCAAAAGCACGATGAATCAAGTAGCCAAAAACCCTCAGTAAACAGCACATGTGGTTTCTGAGAGTATTTGGCTGGTAGATGCATAGTTACTTGTTAGTCACCACCTCAGTTGTTGGGAAAGATTTATTCATTAGAACAATGCTCATATAACAGTTTTGGCATTTTTATATTTTATTCAATATAAAATATTTGTTCACAGATTTTGCACCATTTTTGAACAATTCACGTAAGTCAAAGGGTGGTAACTCATGAGCTAACTGGAAGACGGGTTAAAATACTTTATAAAGTACTAACATCTATTAAACACTGTTTTGCTACAATTTTAAGTGTACAACATTAGTGGTTGATTTGTAAGCAAATATATTTTAATTTGTCATGTTTCTTGTAGTAGAACTCTAAAATATTTATATATGCAAAACAAAATCTAAGTTATTATTTTATCATATTGCTGTCTTTAAAAAAATAACATTTGCAATTGTGCTTATACACTATCTTATTGTAGCAAAACTCTCGTAGTAGAACAGCTGATCTTTCAAAATAGACACTAACTTTAGGTGCTGGTTTCAAAACACTGTTTTCAGTCACTGTGACAGTACATTCATTTTCCAAAGAGATTCCAGTTTTGTATGCTAATGGGGAAAGAGCCCTGGTAGCTTAGGCTTTCTGCTCCTGGTAAGATAAGATTTAGAGCCTCGTAACCCAAAGGGCAGTTTGCTCTGTCCTATGGGGTGTCTGAATTGGAATTGGCTCACTGGTAGTGAGATGTGAATATGATAGGCGTCCTGTTACTTCAGTAGCTTCCTGGGAGGCGCATCTTTGGGCATTTAAAAGTGTTGAGTCCCTTTGTCCATTGCCATTGAGTCGATTCTGATTGGCGGAGACCACAAAGACCTGCAGCACAGTTTCCAAGATTGAACATGCTTCCAAAAGCAGACTGCCACCACTGTCTCCCAGGGAGTAGCTGGTTGGCTGGTTCAAAACACCCACCAGTCCTTTGATTGGCAGGTGAGAGCTTTAACCATTGTGCCACCAGCACTCTTCAAGTCGCTGTCGTATACAGCGAATTTCTTCTGAGATCAGTTGATGAGTAGTCATGATTTGGAAAAGTGCCACATTCACCCACCTATTAGTCGCACCTGTTTTGTATTTTTAATTTCAGTTTGTTTCAAATAACTTACAACACTACCTTTGCAACGTATTTCACACTTTTGGAGGAAACGGGCGGATATGAAAGAAACAAGTTTTTCATGTCTGTGTCTGTGTACTGTCCAGGCTTTCCTAACAAAATAGCAGTCCGTATGCATCAGGAAAGAAAGCGACCCAAGGATTCCTGCTAGTTTCTTAGTTTTTTGCCCAATACACTTACAGGACAAGGGGTGATTATTTTCCATATGCCTTGAAGTTATAAAAGAGAGAGGTAGCAGTAAATCATGAATGAACAGCACTCTTGTAATAAATTTCCTTTCAACGAACATTGGAGTCCAGTTCACTACCGACGATGGAGAGAAAGGCATATTTAATTATTTTATCTGTTTGAACTTTGTTTTAAAATTTTAGTGTATTTTCCCTGCAAAGTAAGTAATTTCTAAAAAAACCTGCGAGCGGACCTACTTTTCAGTCACGGTGAGGGGCAGGAGCACAAGACAAACGAGGCACATTTCTGTTCATGTGCTGCAGGGGGTGATGGGCTTCTTAAAGTCACTAACAAAACGGGGCCTTGGGTTCTTTTCTCCACGGGCAAGTAGTTTCGCTAGCTGCTTTCTGCTTTCTTTGGTTTGCACTGAAATTCATGCGCCAAACTTTTGCTCTTTCTTGGTGTCAAAAGTAGTAGAATATTTTTATCTTTTCAGTATTTGGAAATTTTCACAAAAGCCGCGTGACTGTTATTGGCATATATCAGATACAGCGTATCATTTTTCATCAGTATATTTAACCTTTATGTAAATTGTTGGTATACTTTTAAAGTTGTGAGTAGAAAGCATATTAGACAGGCTTCCAAAAAATATGTTGCTAAGGATGGGAAGCCATTGCCCCAGAGGACTATTTACATTTCCAAATAAGATAAAAACCCAACTCTTCAGTAATGAAAATTGAGCAGTGGAAGAAAGGTTGGTATGAATGCTGTTCGTAGGACCTACAGAAAAACAAGGACTTTTCTAAGGGAACCAAGTATTAGACACTCTCCAAATGCTTTTGTGGATTTTAGACTAAGAAGTTGATTTCAGAGTAAGGAAATATCTTGGAGGGAAAGTTCGTGCATTTGCTGTGTGTGTGTGTGTGTGTGTGTTGTGTTTATTGTCATTGGGTTGTATAAAAAGCATTAATAAAATATTTCTATTTGGTTAGACATTTTAAATGACAAAATTACTTGGCAAATAAAATTTTTTGGTGTTTCCTATGCAGATTGTGGTTCCATGGACCTATTTGTATTGTTCATGTTTTTGAAATTATTGTTCATTTTTGTTTCATCACAGTCCTATAAAAGTTGTTTTGCAACCTCTAGTTGGAGGGAACATATGAATGTGGTAAATAATACTAGATTTTTGCCCTGCCACGTGAGTTACTGCTAAGCATTTATGGGTTTAGTGGTGGTGGTGGTGGGATGTGTGTGTGTGTGTGTGTGTGTGTGTGTGTGTGTATGTGTGTGTGCATGTGTGTGTGTCTGTTTGCATTGCTGGGGAGTGTCTTTAGGGAAAGAAGTTGTACTCTGAATTATATTTATTTATAATCAGTTATCATCTATGTTTTGTTTAAAATTAATGCTAGGAACCTTTCTGCTTCCTGGGAGTTTTCCCCGTGGGTGCATTTTAGCACTAAAGGTGATTTTCCTTCTCTCTTGGGCTGCCAGTGTAACTTTCCTTGTCCTGTGTCACAGCTCAGCAGAACCCAACCGCTCAGCTCCCTGCCAGGCAGCAGATTGAAATGAACCGGCAGCAGCGCTTCTTCCGCATCCCCTTCATCCGCCCTGCTGACCAGTACAAAGACCCGCAGAGCAAGAAGAAAGGCTGGTGGTATGCCCATTTTGATGGGCCTTGGATTGCCCGCCAAATGGAACTCCATCCTGACAAACCACCCATCCTTCTGGTGGCTGGTGCGTATAGTCCACATACAAATAATGCAGGAAACAAACCTGGATTACAAACCCTCTGAAACATTCTAATATATGTGTAGTAATTCATATATTTCAGGCTTGAAGGGGTGGGGTATTGCAGTTGAAGCACATCTCCAATTAACTGAGGATGAACTGGTTCATAATGTGCATAATGGCTTGAAAGTATTGCATCCTCATAAAGAACACAGAGACTTGCTATTTGGTCAAAGATCCTTTCCGCTGGTATTAATTGTATCTGTTGAATTATGATGGCTTGAGGAAATATAGAATTTTTTATTCACCTCAACAACTTGTTTGATCAACTAAAATGTTAGTTTCTGAAGAGTCCTTGGTTGTAACACATTTAATTATTTCTGGTGAATTCACTAAGCAGATACATAGCTTAGGGGTAAAAGAAAGTCGCACCCACTGCCACTGAGCCAGCCGGGGCTCATAACGCCCTCTGCAGAGTGTGTGAGCTTGTACGTCTCCTTGGGAGCAGATAACCCCTTCTCTCGCCCACACAGTGACCTGTGGCTTTGAACGAACCACCTTGCAGTTAGCAGCCCCACTCTACTATCAGCGTAAAAGTTGTAAACTAAAGGTTTCTCAAATCACTTAGAATTAAGATAATTTCAGGCATACCATTATGTAAGAAACGATTCTGAGACTAGCGATGTGATTTTCTGATGTCTCATATTGCAGGCAAGGATGACATGGAGATGTGCGAGCTCAGTCTCGAAGAAACAGGCCTCACTCGGAAGCGCGGGGCCGAGATTTTGCCAAGACAGTTTGAAGAAATTTGGGAGCGCTGTGGAGGAATCCAGTATCTTCAGAATGCGATCGAGAGCAGGCAGGCAAGGCCCACCTATGCCACGGCCATGCTGCAGAATCTGTTAAAGTAAACCT